TTATTTTTAAGAGCAGAAGGAAGTTTTGGAAGGAGTGCTGGTGAAGTAATGGGACAAAGATAGGGTTTAAAAGGATACAATGATGGAGTGTCGAAGTGTCTATGAGCTGTTTCATTAACAGGTGTAGTGGCAAATCGAGCAACAAGTATGGACGCAAAGTAACGAGGGTAGCTGTTTATAGAGTTGAGTGTGGCACTAGATATGGCCGGGAGGGACAGCAGTAGGATACACAGCAGGATAATTGTCATCTCTAAAATATCCGGGGTAAACACAGATTAACACACAAGCGGAAAAGAAAAAATATATACTTGTAGGCCGTGCGCGAGAAAACGTCTTGCCACACTCGTCACACATGCACGGCTTCTCGCCCATGTGCTAGGGTTGGACAGCTGCCCCCCCCCCCCCCCCCCCCAGACAGGGACAGCAGATTCCTGGCTGATGTGGGCTCGGCTGAACCGCTTTCACCACCTCCTTTCCCCGCCGCAGGATGGTGCTTGAGCTAGCCCACGACTGGAATGTCGTTTCTTGGCCTCTCGTGTCTCTGCTGCCCGACCAGACGGCCTCACTGAAGCCCACACAGGGGGCTCTTCATTCACGACCCTTGGCCGTCTTGACGATCTTCGTGAAGTTTTCCAGGAACATAGCTTGGGGTCCGTCGCAATGTTGCCTTGGCAGTAACACAGCTTGGGATCCGTGGCAATGTTGCCTTGGCAGGAACACAGCTTGGAGTCCGTGGAATGTTGCCTTGGCAGGAACACAGCTTGGAGTCCGTGGCAATGTTGCCTTGGCAGGAACACAGGCTGGGGTCCACGGCAATGTTCCCTTACCAGGAACACAGCTTGGAGTCCATGGCAATGTTGCCTTGGCAGGAACGCAGCTTGGGATCCGTGGCAATGCCACCTTGGCAGGAACACAGCTTGTGGTCCGTCGCACTATTAACTAGGCCTCACTCAGGCTGCGCCATGGGCGCGATCAACCAGCACTCACTCAGGCTGCGCCAGGTGCCCGATTTACTAGGCCTCACTCAGGCTGCGCCAGGTGCACTGTCAACCAGGCCTCACTCCGGCTGCGCCTTGTGCATGATTAACCAGGCCTCTCTCAGGCTGCGTCAGGTGCACGATCTGCCAGGCCTCACCCAGGCAGTGGCATTTGCACAACCAGGACCAAAGTGCATGACCAACTAAGCCTCAATCAGGCTGCGCCTTGTGCATGATTTAGTAGGCCTCACTCAGGCTGTGGCAGGTGCACGATTTGCTAGGCCTCACTCAGGCAGTGTCACGTGCACAATTAACTAGGCCTCACTTAGGCTGCGCCAGGTGCACGATTTACTAGGCCTCACTCAGGCTGCACCAGGTGCACGATCAGCCAGGCCTCACTCAGACTGCGCCAGGTGCACGATTTACTCGGCCTCACTCAGGCTGTGCCACGTGCACTATTAACTAGGCCTCACTCAGGCTGCGGTTACTTCCCCATATTACTGCGATGGGCAGATTCCACCCATTGCAGTCAGGATTCCGGAAGCTCCAGAGCAGTGAGACAGCCTTACTAAAGATCACTGATGACCTCTACAAGATCATGGATGACTGGTGTGCCGCAGCATTGGTTGGTATCAATCTCTCAGCCGCCTTCGATACCATTGACCATGAGACACTCATTGGGTGCCTAAGGTCAAGGTTCAGTATATCGAGTACAGCACTAGAGTGGATTGAAGCATACAATAATTAATCGCCTATGCCGTGCCTAGTTGGCGTACCACAGGGGTCCGTCCATGGGCCCCTCCCTGTTTTCAAAATATATCTCTCCGATCGCCGATGTATCTCATCACGTAACATCAAGTTCCATCAATATACTGATGATACACAATTGTACACCGCAGTGGCCGTATGGAACGCTCATCCTTCTGATATTAGGAAGCCACTGGAGTTTTGCACTTTTTAACCTAGATTGAAAATTTCTTTAGTACTGCTATTTATGTTTTGTTTGTTCTTCCGCACGGTTGGCTATTTACAATAATAAATAAGTTCAACATACTTACATACTATGTGCCCTGACTTTCTTTTTTGGTCACTATATTTGTATTTAATAGCAAGTTAATGAGTTACATACATAGAGAGGGATGGGGGATGTGGACGAAGACATACAGAGAGACGGAGACCGATAGAGAGGTATGGGAGGCTGGAAGGGGGAGCATTATGAATTAAGAAATGGGGAGAGGTGGGGAGAGAGAGATGTATGAGGAAATAAATATAAATATAGAAACAGTTATGTTATAAAGTTATTTAACGTAGTGTCCTGTGTGATAATTGCATCTCAAAACGCTACACATCACGAACCACATTAACATAAAAAGTTTCAGTTGCATTTATTAGGTATAACCCTGTGAGCCATGTGGCTCTTGACTCGGGTGCAACGGCAACAAACAAAAACATGAACAATAAACTTCTTAAAGTGACTACACGCAACAGAAAAATCCAGGAAAAAACAGCAAAGTCTTCCAGAAAAAAACACCGTATTTCAACGCTGTGTGCAAAAATCCCAGTGGGATGCAAGTCAAACAATAATAACCATAGTACAATTTAGATTAAAGTTATCAGGCTAACTCTGTACTACAACAAATGAACATGGCTAAACCAAAACTTTTCAAAATCACCAAAATAAAGCTATAAAAACAATGTAACAGTGATCATAGGAACTGTGATTCAAATTTAACAATAAACGATATACATAACATGTACGACCAAACTTTGCAGCCATAGCTGGCTGCATGAGTCACTCCATAACAGCAGTAGCAGTATCAAACATTTTCAATACACCTTTAAAGATCAGCACACTATAATCAAAACTCAAGATCATACTTTGCAGCGGTCATCCGGAACGATACATTTGATTCCAGGCCATTTTGAATAGCAGTGGCAGCTTGGGGTGTACAACTCCTCTAGAGCAGTTTTGAGTGGAGATCTCAGGTAGTGATCCAAGTTGCAATTTATTGGCGATAGCATTCCAGACCCGGGGCATCAATAGAAAAGGCCCTTCCTCCAGTATTTGTACGGCAATAAGGAATGTGAAGCTGGTAAATCAGCGAAAACCTTAGGTCACATTTGTTCTTCGAAACAGTGAGGAGATCCAGCAGGTAGTCTGCTGTTTTTTTGTAAGTACACCGTGAATAAATAAGATCTGATGCACAAGCCGTCGATAATTAAGAGAAATTAAGTTTGACCCAATGTAGAGATCGGAGTGGTGGGTCCTACAGTAGTTATCCCGTGTGTAACGGTGTGTAAGAGATAGGCATATTGTAGTCCCGTGTGTAAGTGTTTTATACTGTAGAATAAACGTTGCCTCCTAACTAGTGTCTCGGAAGTGACTCACTACATATGTATACATTTTTAGTAGCAATACATGTTTGATTATAATCAAACATGCATTGCTACTAAAAAAAAAATTAATGATTTTTTTTCTTTTATTCGATAGCTACATTTCCTAATGTAAGAACTTCACCAGGAAAAATCTTGACAATGTAATGCTTTACCAGGCCCCATGGTGTACACTGCGGTCTCAAACTCGTATCCCCTCTGTATTCACGAGCTCTGAAGAAGGGCCCTTCCCCAAAACGTCGCCTATCATAACAATTAACAATAAAGGTTACTTTAGGTTAGATTGCGTAAATATAACCCACCACCACCACCAACACTGCCAATTATTAAGGTTTGTTAGGTAAACAAAACGTGCCAATTAGTTACTAGTTCAGCACTCCGGTGTGTTGGAAAGTAAACCCACAATATTTACAATTTGAGTACTGTGACGTTTCGCTTGTGATTACAACAACCAGCTTCATCATATGTCAGAAATGTGATCTTCCCGTTCCGGTCCTTAAATAGAGTAAAGGTGATATCATCACTGCGAGACTATCAGGTGCAGAGACCAGAGGGGGTTAATGTAGTCATATAAATTACAATGGATTATGTTGTACGTATGTATGTTGATGTATGTATGTTGAACTTCTTTCGCACCATACGCAGCCAACCGTGCGAATCGGAGGTACTGGGGAGGCAGAACAAACCAAACACAAAGCAGTACTGAATAAATTCATTTTCAATCTCGAAGATTTAAAAGTTTATGGCTCCCAGTAGCTTCCTTATATCGGAAAAGCATTCCAAACGGCCACAGAAGCGTATCCAAAAGCGCCGCGCGATGCAGTGACCGTCTTTATTCGATGGCCGGCCAAAAGCCACTGTGTACTTCTTTCGCCTATCACATCACCTTCCTTTTAAGGCCATGCAGCGTTACTGATTAATGTGTTCAGGATGTTTTGTTTGTTGTTTAGGTTTTATGAGCGTTATAATAACAATAGTTTCACTGTTTTATATGGCAGCGTCAATCTGGCCATCACAAATGATAGCTCAACGTAAGTGGCTTATCATGTGCACATTTTGACCACCCAAATACTCTAAACGTGTGATGTTGATTCTAATTATGGAGGGAAAAACCGGAGGACCCAGAGAAAAATCCATGTCACCGCAGGGAGAGAGATAAAGACGCAAACTACAAACATACAGCAGACGTCAGGGTCGGGATGAAACCCACGACCTCCTGCATATTAGGCGAGGAACATAACATCTTGCCACTCCCCATTAACTAATTTTGTTTGTAAAACGATAAACTCTTTTTATTTCACCAGGTAATGCTAGCTGAGCTATGTAGCTCTTTTTAAGAAGTGACTTGGCTATCACAAATGACAGCTCAACGAAATAGCGTATTATAACGTCGATATTTAATGCAGTAGGTAAATACTCTAAACGCGTGATGTTGATTATAAATGTGGAGGGAAAAAGCGAAGGACCCAGAGAAAATTCCAAACGACACCGGGTAGAGAGAGAGACAAGCAAACACCAAATAAAAAGCAGGCGTCAGGTTCGGGATTGAACCCACGATCTCCTGCAAACCAGGCAAGGTAATTAACATATTGCCACCGTGGTGCCCACACTGCTGTATGCATGACACAGGACCCAGCAAGCAGCAGAAGCAGCAGAATAAGCGCAGGAGGAACGATGACGTGCACCATCGCAACGATTGTGCTGGCCGTCCTGGCGGCCATGAGCGCTGAGTGTACGGGTGAGCACTCAACTCCTCCTCACCTCATTCACCTCACTCACCCTGCCCTCACTTCGTCACGAACACCTCCTCACGACCACCATCACCTCGTCACCTCCACTAATACCTTACATCCATCACCTCATATCCATCATCACCTCATCACGTTCATCATCTCCTCACATCCACCATCACCTCGTCACACACACCATAACCTCCTCACATCCATCATAACAACCTCACGATGACCATAACCTCCTCACATCCACCGTCACCTCCTTACATCCATCATCAACTCGTTACTTACACCGTCACCTCATCACGTTCACCATCATCTCCTCCTCACATCTACCATCACCTCCTCACGACCACCATCACCTCCTTACGACTACCATCACCTCCTCACATTCACCATTACCTTCTTACGTCCATCATCACCTCGTTCCCTGTTATCTCCACAAACAGTACCTACCTCCCTCTTCTAATCTCACTCAACTTTGTACTACAACGACATTGCACTACCACTCTGGCTCACCACACACGCTACCACATTGAACTACCAAACTGCACTACCACTCGGCACCACCACTCTGTAACAGCTACTGCACTACCACACTGCACATAGTACTGCACTATCACACTGCAGCAACTACTGTATCAACTACTGCACTAACCACACTGCAACATCTACTGCACTTTCAACTACACTACCACTATACACCACCACTATATACCACCACTCTATACCAAATACTACACGACTGCACCATACTACTGTAAAGTAGAGCCGAAACGAGGTTGCAGGGGGTTCGTCCTTTATTTCCTCCCCCAGTCCACACTTGTCTCCAGCTTTCTCGGTCCGTTCTCCGCCAGTTCTCCTTTTGCCCCCCTCAGCCCCCCTCCTATCTCCTCGCCTGCTCCTCCCCCTTCCACTGTTCCCACTCCACTGTGCCCCTCCTTTTGGTGGGAATCCTTACCCCTGACATCCCTTACATCACCCGCCCCCCCCCCTTGGAAAGAAAAAAAAGTCCTCGGTTCTACCTACCCCTCGACCATTTCAGTCTCCCCGTGAGCCCCCCCCCCTCCCGTTTACAGTGACAACAGCGCTTAACCCCCCAGCAACCATACAATTCAATATAACAACATCAACATCAATTGAACGTCTAGATTTGAAGTTTTCATGACTGGAGAGATCCATACTTTTTGGTTCTTTCGGTAAGTCACGTAGGTATAAAATAAAATAAATTAAATCACGACGTTTCGGGCGCAACACACGCATCCGTCATCAGGTGGGACAATCACAGCAAGAAACAATTGCTGAAGTGGGCAAAAGGGCTGCTGCAACAAGAGGCCATATAAGCAAGAGACGGGGGGGAGTAGCCAGGGAGGAGAGACAGGGAGGGTGGGGGTGTGGGGTAGGGGGAGTGGAAGAATGGTCAGTGGGCTCATGGTCAGTGGGCAGATCAGCTTGACGGTAGGTCCTGGTGTCAAGGACATGGACCCACATCCGCTCTTACGTCACTATATAGTTCAGCAGATGTTCTTGCTTTGACCTCGTGTGCATCAATGATGTTGTGTGGCTGCATCGATGCTGGAACAGCATATTGGTAATTACAAGCCCATGGGCTGCACAAAAGTATAGCAGCCTCCCACCATTCTTATTGAGCTGAGCCAGCTCATGCCCTCCAATTACTCCAGACCAGGTGCCAGCATCATGATCAACTCGGGCATTAATTCACCCAACAGGATGACTCTATCGCGAGCCAGCACCTGTGACAGGTCATAGAAAGCATCTGACTCATCTGCCTTGCCTGCATCGTTCCACTGGTATTCATCTTCGGTGGGGGAATAAATAACCACGACAGCCACTCCTGGTTGATGCGAAGACGAGCCCAAAGTAGCCTGGGGCTTATAGCTTCCCATACCTCACCGCCACGCTCCCATGCCCCCTTCCTTTTTTAGTTCAGAAGAAGAGTCACTCCCTGTTGTTTGGTAGTCTCTTGCCCCGAGTAGAGGACTGTCCATCCCTCATGGTGGCAGGAGCCAGAGCTGGTCCACCAGACCTCCTGAATACCGCAGAGATCCAGGCAGTACCGGTCCAGCTCCCAATAGAGGAGTGGCAGCCTCTCCTCCGCAGTGAGCAGTGGCTTTTTGTTGTTTCTGGAGGAAATCCGAGTTAAGGATTCAGTCTCCTGGCTCCGCCAAATGGGGTTTGACCAGAAGATATCATAGACGCGTGTCCCCTCGGGGCCTCTGACACAAGTTTAGTTGGATATTTGTACGTGGTTTTGTGGTAATTAAATTTAAGGTGGAGGAGTTACCAGTCCCTCACACCCATCCAAAGCACCCTTTTGGCTACTGTGGTGGCTACAAACACCATGAGGGTAATGGGCAATTGAAATTGGCCCTATCCCCATCGCACTGCTCACCACAGCATTACCGTCTGGCACCAACGAGGAGGTAGGGGGTTGTTTTGCCGGACAACAGGCACACGCACAGCTATTGACACACCTATACCCATATATTCACAGAGAGACCCACAGATTACAGAGTGGCCCATATATTCAGAGAGACCCACAGACTCAAACAGAGAACTATAGCCTAACACAGAGATCACATCGACACCTGGAGACTTACACTTAGCCATATACATTTAAAGAAACCCATAGACTCACAGAGGCTCACAGACTCACACAATGAATCAGACAGAGATCCACAGACAAAATAGAGAGGCACAGGTGTCCAATTTAGTCACACAGAGACTTATCGACTCAAACAGAAACCCACCGACTTAACGTGACCCATAGATCCGTATAGAGATGCGCAGACTCACAAAGAAACCTACAGACTCGCCCAGGCAAAAGACAAAGATCCCCCGTATAGCTGAGTCCACACGGAGACCTACACAGAGACCCGTAGACTGATGAAGACTGAGACGCGAATCGACGGGGAAACTACATTGCACAGAGCTGACGATGCCAAGTCTCCCGCCCTGCCCCAGGGGAGGTGGTGGAGGTGATGGGCAGCAGCGGCGCCCTCTCGTCTCTCCATTCGGTGCCCAACGACACTGCCGTCACGTCCACGTTCATCATCCACGCCCGCGCAGGGGAGGCCGTGAAGATCAAGTTCACATGGTTGAGGTTAGCCCAATCCCTGCCGTGTCACCAGGCCTTTCCCTATTATTTTCACCCGGTTCTGTCCAAAATCGGTTCCTAAATCTGTCCCCATTGTGTCACAAGGTCAATTCCAATCTTTCACATGAGGGCCGTTCCAAGTTTCTCCCAATTGCATGACTAGGTCTAATCATATTATGTCACTTAATCTGCCTCAATTGTGTCAAGCATTTGTGGTGAATTCATGAAGGGCGATTTTAGTTTTTTTTTTACTTGCTGTGTCTATTGGGGATTTGCTGAATATATTTGGTTGTTTTTGTTATCCAGATGAGCAACAGATTTGTTTTACATTCACAGCTGTGGGACACCAAAATTAATTTAGCAGATTCCCAGTCAGATGCAAGTGAGCTCTACGGGCTTATTTGCATGTTGAACTTATTTCGCACTGTACTTAGCCAACCGTGCTAATCGGAGGTGTGGGGGAAAGACAACAAACTAAACACGGGAAAGATGTGAGGATGGGGGATCAGCTCTCAAAACTCCCCGGCCCATCTTGCACCATGACAATTATAATTATCTAAGGATTTATTTCAATCCACTGCTTGATTGAAGGCTTCCCTGTACATTGCCATTTAAAGGGGTTGTTTGTTCAATCCCCACCATGCTGATCAGTTTGAATTGGTGAAGAAGAGGCCCATGACCAATTCTATTCGTATCACGTCACTGATATTAGCCGTGACCAGGAATGAAACTCAAGTCATTGGGTTCACGGTGCATTGGGCTAAAAAGAGTGGCATAGCTCAGTGGGCCTTACCTGGTAAAAAAAAAGTGTAAGTGTATAGTTTATAGTGTTGCTGGGTGTAAGTGGTAAAGGGTGGTGTCTCCGTGTTTCTCTGCGTGTCCATCCCAGCTGTTCCTTGAAAAAGAGACTCTTGACATGAATGAGCTCACTCCAGGTTATAAATAGCGGTAGTGAAGCAGTTAGCACGCTGCACTACGAACCCAGCAAGCTGAGTTCAATTCCCGCCCGCGGCCAACACCGGTGACAATTATCTGGTACTGAAGAATCAAAGGCGGCCGGGCGGGGTGGTGGCCACTCACCCCCTCTTGTGCCATGTCGGCTTTCATAGGTGCTCACTAGCAGCACTTGCCCCAGCAGTCTGTTAAGGCTATATGGGAGATATTTATCTTTGTGCTGCTATAATGTCTATTCTTTCCCTACTTTTGCTGGTTCAGTTTGCTGGATGACTTGCTGTGTGCCAAAGAGAGCCTGGAGATCTTGGATGGAGAATTTTATCAACAACGAAATTCCCTGGCTTTGCTCTGTGGAACTGGCCCGGAGTCCGTGCCTCCACGCAGCATCAAGTCGAGTGGAGAGAACATCACGCTGGTGCTAAAGTCCAATGGGCCGATGGAAGGTGAATTTGTTAGCCATGAGAAGTGACAGTAGAGGGCACCTCCTTTCCAAATGTGTACAGTATTGTGTCACACACGCTCCTGAGATAAGAGGTTGAATAGGTCGTGCACTGATGCGAATGCATTTCATTTGGCCGTAAGTACAGGCGGTACCCGCTTTCACTCTCACCCACTCACTCACTCATCCACTCACTCACTCACCTAATCACCCAGAACCAGGGTAAACAGCCAGAATTAGGCGGGTGGTGAAAGTCAATTTAAAGAGGTGAGTTTTAAGGACAGACTTAAATATATCTAACGATTCTGATTGACTTATTAGCAAAGAAAAGACGTTCCAATGTTTGTGAGTCACAGTGGAAATAGTCCGATCAGTGGTTAGCGCGCTATGCTACGAACCCGGAAATCTGGGTTCGATTTCTGCTCACGACCACCATCAACACCAGTGACGATTATCTGAACTGCTCCTGGGCTTCCCCGAGGTCAACGCAGCCTCAAATGAGTACCTGGTGCGCTGTGTAGTTAACACTGCCACTCGGGAGACACAGGCGGCCGGAAAAGCTTGGTTCTGGCCACCTGCCCCCTCGTGTGCTATGCCGGCCTTCATAGATGCTCAATAACAGCACTTGCTCAAACAGTCTGTTAAGGCTAAGACATGAGCCCCAGTTGCATGCAAAACTATACAACACATAACAACGTGTGGTATGTATCTATGTGTGAGTCTATGGGATTCTGGGGGAGTCTGTGGGTCTCTGTGTGAGTCTATGGGTCTATGTTTGAGTCGTTGGTTCTCTGTGTGAGCCTGTAAATCACTGCGCAAGTTTGAAGGTCTCTGTTAGTCTATGGGTTTCTATGTTAGTCTATCAGTTTCTGTGTGAGTCTATGGTTTTTGTCTATGTCTATGGGTTTATGTGTGAGTTTATGGGTTTCTGTGTGAGTCTGAGTGTTTGTGTGAATCTGGGTCGTTGTGAGAGTTTGTGTCTCTTTGTGAGTCTTTGTCTCTGCGTGAGTCTGTGGGTCTGTGTAAGTGTTTTTCTATTTGCGAGTCTATGGCGCCCTGTGTCAGTATTTGGGAGGGTTCAATTCACAACCATGCTCTGTTCTAATCCCGTGCAGGAAGGGGCTTCAGCCTGCTCTACAAATCGGTTACCCCAACGTGGCCGCCAGGAAGTAAGTGCCCGCTTAATTATTCCCTTGCTTTAACGATCCCTCGTGGTCACCTTGGATGGGTGCGCTCCTCCTGGGAAGGTTTCCTGGCTTAAGTGAGACGTTGGGATGAGTGCTCTGTGATGTTGAGACCTAATGGACTACTTTCTCTGTCATTGATAACTTTTTTGTTGTTTGTGCCTTTTGTTTAGGTGTAATTTTAATTAATTAATTGATTTTTGACGTTGCACGGTAGTCGGGGTTTTATTTGCTGGTAGTAGCTGTGTACAGGCTTTGGTCCTTATAATGAATGTACAGCTTCATGGGATGCAATTAGCATGAACCACTCTGCTATATAACATTATGTAATTAGTGTTAAGCCTTGTACAACACAAGACACAAACTAGACTTAAGCTCACGATGGACCTACTCAATGATGGGAGTTACTCAAAAATTAAACATGACCCTACTAATAGCCTAACGATAAAAACCAACAAGATCATCACTAGTTCAACTTCCCTAATTGAACCAACCAAACGTCCCTCCCTAATACCCTCCACTGCAAGACCTCCCAGATTCTATGGTCTTTCCAAGATCCATAAAGAAGGTACCCCACTACGACCCATCGTGTCCACTATCAACTCACCTACATACAAGCTAGCCCGTTTTCTGTCAGATAATCTGCTTCCCTTCACTGGCAAGACCAGCTCAGCAGTACTTAACTAAACCCAATTGGTCTCTATGGTTAAGGACATTGTTATGTCTCCTGACGATATACTCGTCAGCTTTGATGTGGTCTCTCTGTTCACCAAGGTCCCAGTACCTGATACCATCACAATAATCGAAGATTTGGTCCAATATGGACTTGACCCCGATGTACCGGCGTTGGTTAAGCACTGCCTCACCAACACCTATTTTACTTGGAATGGCACCTTGTACAAACAAAATGAGGGTACCCCCATGGGTTCCCCCTTACCACCAGTGATAGCCAATGTTTTCATGGAGAAATTTTAATCAGACGCCATCCAGACATCCACCCTCAGCCCTTCCCTGTGGAAGAGATATGTAGATGACACTTTGGTCATTTGGCCACATGGCCTCCCAGCTTTGAAACTTTTCCTAGACCACATCAATTCCAGACACCCTACCATTAAATTCACCATGGAAGTGGAAAAAGATGGCAAGCTACCATTCTTGGATGTCCTGTTTGAGAGAAGGCCTGATGGCTCTTTGGAACATTTTGTTTACAGAAAGCTCACCCACACAGACTCCTACTTGAAACCTGATTCCCACCACCACCCGACTCAGAAGAATTCTCTCATTAAAAACGTTAATCCATAAGGCTCATTGCATTTCTGACAAACACCACCTGACCAGTGAATTAAAACATGTACATCTGGTCCTCAAGATGAACGGCTACTCTGACCGTACCATCCGCCAAGCTGTTTCTCCCTCTACACAGAAACAACCACTTGACACTCCGATCAAAATCATCACGTTACCATACATAGCAGGCGTTACTAAAAAGATTTCCAAAATTCTAAACAAACACAAGATCCAGGTCCGGTTCAACACAGTGCACAAAATCCGTGATCTAATCCCATCAGTAAAGGATGTGATTCCTGACCTACAGTACCCCGGTGTTTACAAATTGAGTTGTACCTGCGGGGACTGCTATATCGGGGAGACGAAGCGACATATCTCTGACCGAATCCGCGAGCACAAATCAGATTTGAAACATGGCAGAACGAATTCTTCTGCCGTGGCTGATCATTGTTACAACGCTGTGGGTGATCATGATATTGTCTTCTCCGACACCAAGGTGCTCTGCAAACCTACGGGCTATTATCAGAGAATTGTCCACGAGGCCATCCAGATTTACAAACATAGACACAACTTCAACCGAGAGGATGGTTTCAAATTGGGTAATCACTGGAAAGATGTTTTAAATCAAGTCAAACGTTAGCTGCCTTTCAATGTTTTGTACAGCCATTCCTCAGTGGTTGTATATCATAGTGCCCTTTGATCACGTTCACAGAGAGCTCGCATCGGGGAGCCCTTTGGTGTGGGCTCACATCGAGGGGCCCATTGATGTGAGCCCTTTGTGAGCTCGCATGGAGGGACCCTTTGATGTGTGCTTGCATTTGGGGGCCTATTGTTGTGAGCTTTGAGAAGTGGGTGTTACCCGCAGCATTCTATCAAAAGGCTGCTTAGCCCAGCCCTCCCACCCACCCACGCCCCCTTACTGACTCCTCCCTTAACCTGTATATAATCCCGGTCGTCTTTGAACTGTGCTCCTGACACAGATATTCTGCGTTGACCTTTCCCACCTGAAGACGGAAGCTTGCGTTGCCTCCGAAACGTCGTGATTTAATTGTTTTTTTTTATCTACGTGACTTTACCGAATAAAACCAAAGAGTAGGTCTTAGGAAGTGTTGGGGGGGTCCCCCTCCCCCTCAGCCCCCACCCCTGGGGGCTCTGGGGTGTCAACCTCCAGTCATGGGGGGGGGTGGAAGGCTCTTATCTTAAGGGGTCTTATGGAGGGGGGGGGGGTCCCCATCCCCCTCAGCCGCCACCCCTGTCGGCCCATGAGCGTGGTGGCAGATCAGCTGCCCACAGCGCCTTATTACGGCGCAACATCACCTGGGTGCGTACATGTCTGTGAGGGGTGCACCTCTGGTTGGCTGCTTGCTCGCGGTCACGTGACGCACTTCAACCAATCCGTGCCGCATTAATCACACAACGACAGTCACAGAATGACAGACCTGGGTGTTTATATATATTTATATTTAGTAACTTACTTTCCTTTACTCATACTCTTTGGTTCTTTCGGAAAAGTCACGTAGGTAGAAAATAAAATAAATCACGACGTTTAGGGCGAATAACAAGCATCCGTCATCAGGTGGGAAAGCATGGTCTGCTGCTGAGGCAGACTGTTTTAATGGTTTGAAATGGGTGTCGCCCAAGGGTCATAAAGAAGTGGGCGGGGCTAGTGATCTTAATGTGAGAAATTAGCATGTAACTGTAAGATAGGAAAGCGGCCTCATCGACGAGGGCATGGAAGTGGCTATGTTAATGTCAGAGATTAGCGTGGTGTTAATGTGAGAAATTAGCATGTAACTGTAATACGAGGGAGTGCAACCCAATGGGTGCAATCCAAAGGGCATGTGAGTATGAGAGTGCAATCCAAAGGACATGTGAGCATGAGAGTGCAATCCAAAGGCATGAGAGTGCAATACAAATGACATGTGAGCATGAGAGATCTAAGAGAGAGGCATAGAGAGAGACACAGAGAGTCGGAGATGACATAGGTAGGTATGATGGAAACATCACCGTCAGTTAAGACTTTACCTGGTTAATAACGTCCTTGAAGTTGTCTGTGTTTATGTATCTGGATGACTTCATGAACAAATCTCTGAAGGTAGCCGATAGGTTTGCAGAGTACCTCCATCTTGGAAAAATCTATTTCATGTGAGCCCACAGCATTAAAACAATGATTGGCAACGACAGAGGTATTAGTCCTACCGTGTTTCAGATCTGCCTTGTGTTCACGAACGCGGTCCGAGACATGTCGTTTCATTTCCCCAATATAACTGCTGCCACAACCACAGCTCAGTTTATAGAAACACGGGTATTGCATGTCAATGGCAGAGCATGGTTGTCAACAAGGACATTCAATTGATTTTGATAACGTTGAAGTGTTGTGTAAAACTAATTATTACTGGCCAAGACTAATTAGAGAATCCATTGAAATTGAGAGAAATACAAATAACTTTAATCGCTCTGACAGCTACAGGCCTGCGGCCTGGAAGCGCATTATTTAACAAATAACAGATATAATACAATGACAATTCCTTATAAGGGAAACAAATACCAATGAATAACAATTTAATGATTACCAATCAATATAATTACAATACCCTCGCCCTGTCTGCCTCAAATCACTGCACTTTATTGAATTAAATGATGAAGTAACCCTGCTGCTGCTCTATTTAAGACCGGGAGCAAGTGAGGGCTTTACCATTTTGGCGAATTGCCCGATGATGCTGGATGTAATTACCAGCGAAACCTCGTACTCAAATTTTAAATGATGTTGATTCGCTCTTCAACACACCGGTGGGCTAAAGAAGTGAATTATTTTGTCCTTTGTAAACGTGACACATTTTTTACAGTTTGGCCGTGTCGGGTGGTGGAGGGTTACGACACATTTATAAATAACGCGATCTAACCCACAAAAACCTTTATTATGTTTGTATTGTGTTTGTTTCTGTAATGTTCAGACCCCGTGCCCCTACTGGACATCTATGAAAAATGTATTACAGCTCAACGGATTCCTCCTGCAGTATGAAGACTGATTCAGATTCATAGTCGACTTCAGTTGCAAAGGGGCGTCGGCTTTTGTCGCTGCGCTCTCTCCCACGCGGTTTGTTGATGTGTGACCGCACCCCCTGCATCTGCTTTTGGTGGTGCAGTCTGTGGGGAGCGGTAGTGTAACGGTTAGCGTGTTGCGCTTCGAACACGGCCACCCGAGTTCGACTTCCACTCATGGCCGACACCGGTGACTATTAACTGAACCGATCCTGGGCCTCCCCTTAGGTCGACTCAGCCTCAAATCAGTACCTGGTGTGGTGTATTAACATCGCCCCTGGGGCGTGGTAAGCCGTGCCGGCCTTCATAGGTGCAAGCTAACAGCACTTGTCCCAACAGTCTGCTAAGGCAACACGGGGGATCTTTGTCTTTGTTTTGCAGACTGTGGGATCGCGACCATGTACGCGCCAAACCCCTGGCTGGCCTACATCACCTCCGACGTGACTGACTGCTTTGCCACGCTGATCAGCAGATGGTGGCTCCTCACGGCGGCTCACTGCTTCTCCCGTCCAATGTGAGTACCTTGTGGCTCCCCCGTGTGCCGTCTTCCGTGCCGGCTGTACTGCTCCTCAGCAGCAGCTGCTGCCCTGTCCAAGAGTAACGACGGAGCAGACCCAAGGCACATTCTCTTTAGTAGTGTAAATATATACAGGTGGGGTGGGGGACACACACGCTGCCTCCCCTCATCTGCCTGCTCATTGTCTTTGAAACTGATTGGCCTGTACCAGAGACGGCCTCCTTTTTGTGGCCTTTTCTCACCGGTGTTTACGTCAAAAGGTCAACAGCACAATGACAATACAAACAATCATGGATACCAATGTACGCATTGTCCTTGAAACTGATTAGCCTGCACCAATGCACCAGAAACAACCTCCTCTATGACCTGTCTCACCGGTGTTAGACCAGAGAGAATAATACCAAAAGCCGACAATGCAAATATTACAGCATTCGCAGCTATATCTAAAAGACCCTTTTAAGCCAGTATCAAGATAATTAAAAACTAATAGGCATACGTGGCGTTTGAAGGCGAGTGTGCCGACCGCTACTGCGATTACAATAATCTACAGCACTTTGTAAATATACTGCTCATGGTCGAATGGCGACTCGCACCATTTTGGTAATCGAGGTTGCTTAAGCAAACGTTCCCACGTGAGTCAACATGTCTAGGCGTCATGGTGGCGAGATGTGAACTACCTCGCCTGCGATACGGGAGGTCGTAGGTTTGATCCTGACGCCATTGCCTACTGTATATCTGGTGTTTGCATAACTCTCCCTGTGGTCACGTGGTGGTTTCTCCGGGTCTTCGAGTTTTTCCCTCCACATTTAGAATCAACATGACGCATTTAGAGTATTTGGCCGCTATACATTTCCACGTGATAAACCACTTTGTTGAATCTATCATTTGTGGTGGCTAGGCCGCTTCTGGAAAAGAGCTACACAGCTCAGTGGGCCTTACCTGACTTTTTCCGGGCCCCACACCGCACTCTAGCGACGACCACTGCACACGGGTGACGTGTTGACGACGTCTACGTCGGTGGGGTTAAACTGCCCTCGGCCGGCGAACCATGGCCGCGCTGCTCGGCCCAACAAACCCCTCACTCACTCGTCTGTCGCAGGGATAACACGACGCAGCGGTCCATCGGATTCTTGCAAGCGCGTGAGTCGAGGGACATCGTCAGGATTGTGTTCCACCCCAAGTCTCAGGAGGGCTCCTTGGACTACGACATCGCGCTGGTGCAGATGAACCAGCCGGTGTCCTTCAGCGAACACTTGATGCCGGTCTGCCTGCCCGAGGCCATCCAGCACCTGCCGCTGGCGGGGAAGATGTGCTTCATCGACGACGACCCCACCTTCGACATAAGTACAGCGGTGGCCGTCCTTCGGGGGAGGGGGGGGGGATTGCCCCACAATTCAACATTACCTGAGGGACAGTGCATGCTCATGCGCGAGTCTCGATGGTTCCTCGCAAATGCTTTCAAACATTTTTACGTGCGACTTCCCAAAGTTGGGTGGATTGATTTGGCTGCCTGTGAGCTGAGGATGTCCCTCTGAACTAGTTATGAGCCACAGCATCATCTGCGATGCGCGTTTGATTTGTCCATTTCTAACAATTTGGATCAAATACATTTAACCTTTTCCTATTCCGATGACGTATACGTACGTCATCAGTTTTACTTCCGATTCCGTTCCAGTGATGTTCGTACACGTAATTACTTCTGATTCCATACGTGTGCATACGTTATCGGAACAGAATCAGGAGTAAAAGGCCATGCGAGAGGGCGTGTGGCACAGTTTGCAGCCAGCTATGGTAAAGTGCGGCGGTCGTGTCGCTATAGTTCTCTGTGATGAGTAACAATGTCTTTAAAAACAACGGCGCTGCTATGCCTATTTAAATAAAATGAACGCTGAACCGCTTGCACATTCCGAGATTCGGTGGAGAATGGGACACCCACCACCCTGCAAGGTGCAGACATCTCGGAATGGAAAAGTTGAGCCATCGAGTTTCGTCTACAGAGCCATCTCTGACCTCATTTAAACTGATTCTGTTATTAACATCATTCAAGTTGAAGTGTGAATGAAATGTTACAATATGAATGCTATTATTTTTGTATCTGTAATTTTGGAGTGCGTTGATGTTGTCTGCTGGCTGAATCGCCCTTGAAAAATATCTGCTTAGCTCAATCGGATTTACTCAGTGGGAAATCAACTTCTAATCATTTTATAGCCATGTTCTGTCACATGGACACTGTCTGAGTGCGGCTCGTATCACACTGCATCTTGGCCAGAAGTAGTCAAAGCGCTGTGTGCCTCAGCTTATGAATGTGAACCTCCCTGTATGTATGTTGAACTTATTTCGCACCGTACTAGATAACCGTGCAATTGGTCTGCACTGGATTCACACACTCGGACTGAATGTGCCCAGTACAACATTTGTGCCTGTGACTGTATGAATGTTGAGCTTCTTTTGCACCGTCCATGGCCGTTACATAAAACCAGCGGTCTCTGTTACTTCTGTGCTCATCAAGGCTGGCACAGCACACTGGGGGTCATTGCCCATGCAAGATTCGACTCTTTTGTCTTCTCGGTGCCGATTCATAAACTTATTTATTTATTAGGTGTTGGAGCCAGCTGGCCAGGATTGGACAAAACCAAGCCCAACTTTTCACGCACGCAACTGGAGATTAGCACAGACTAAGCGTGACTAACCTAGCATTAAAACTACACAATAACATATTTACGAATCCAAATGAATAGACAAATAACTATGAAAAGAAAAATTAAAATTACTTTTTTTTAACTTAAAACACACCAACTGAATGCCACGAGCAACAATTTTGCAATTTTAAAGCAGTTACTTGAACACCATCGATCTGGGTGAGGAGTACAGAAGGTAAAATGTTTGCGTAACGTCGAGTACTCATGTTGGGAATATTCAAACAGGGTAGAGAAGGCGTGCCCAGCGTCACTGAGGCAATGCCACCATCTGTGCAGCCAGAATTGAACCTGGCACCACGACGATGCGGTTCAGCAAGTGGAGCTCTTACGGTCCACTTGGCCACACTCATTGTGCACAAAGTGAAGCACAATGCCTTGCTGATCTCGTCAATGAGCATAAACCACCATCACGTGAACTCCGGTCATCCTCGCAATGGCTTTTGGCTAACCATCGAACGAAGATGGTCATCGCATTGCGTTCTTCCAGATGTGCTTTTCTGGCCGCCTAGAACACTTTTCTACTGATATTAGGAAGCCACTGGGAGCTGTGCACTTATACATCGACAATGAACATTTATTTCTTTAGAACTGACTGCTTTTTGTGTTTAGTTTGTTGTCCTTACCCCATACCTCCGATTAGCATGGCTGGTGACATACATTGTGAAAGAAGTTAAACGCACACCCACATACTTTGTCTCTGTTGGTGAACTACGGAGTGTGTGGCATCTCTCCCCATGCTCCCATTGTCTCTCTTAGCATACTTTAAGGTGTTCGTCCGCATCGTGAACCAGACGAGCTGTGCATCCGCATTCTACGGCGAGGCCCTGACCAGCCGCATGATGTGCGGCTTGCCCACCTACGGATACTACATGGACTGCATGCGCACCGTGAGTGTCTGCCACTTTCATTGTCACACGTGGACTTCTGTTAGTGGAGACGGGGTGGTGTGGGGATGACGAGGGGCTGGTGGACGAGGGAGCAATCACCTAAGCGGGGTGGCATGCGTCGTGCCATTTGGGGATGTCAGTAGAAGTTGATTGGGAGATTTGGCATACTGCTCTCAAGCAAAACCACGGCCCTATCCTAAACGTCATCAGCTCCGTATTAAACCCTGAGTCACCACCGTTTTGCAATTGGGTAGTGGAAATGCTTTGGACATTACTATAGCTTACAAGTGAGTTCATTCCGATCCCGTATATTCGCAGTGCTTTTTTCTCGGTTATTAATAGGCTTGGAAGAACAGTGAGAGTGAATTATTACCACTGTCAGTGGCAGCATTAAACAAACACTGGTGAAAGGTCGTGGTCTGTGTCAAAGTGTCCATCAGCACCGCTCATGCTTTTGATTCTCAGCCTCACTCTTGCCTCCACAGAAACTTGGTGATGACGAGAACCTATGTCTGCAGCTCTACCCTCGTCTTTAGAGCAGATATCATGTGCCCTGAGTCACTAACTTTTGATAGCTACGTCACTTTGTTTGAGCACGCTACGTCACTTTGTTTGAGCACGCTAATGAAGATGACCGGTACAATAGCCACTCCAAATCTAAAGCAGCCTGGTTTCAGCACAGTTACATTTTCATGCTCTTGGCCTATCTCGTGCTAGCCTGGCACATGCCTCTCCATTCACACTTTTATGCCTACTTCTGCGTTGGAGTCTTCCATCTCATAACACGATTTATAGGTATCATATCCAAGGTACACGATTCAACAATACGACTGTTTGACGGAATCTTCTGAAGCCTCTGTTGGTATCCAGAAGCACCGCAACGGCCATAGCTCCCCCTCTTAAACTGGCTGCTGACTTAGTTCCTCGAGGGCATGTGCAGTTGTTTTTGGTGTCGTGCTTGTAAAAAAAATCCCAAACACGAGGACGCGTGGCTTCACGCCCACAGAGGGCCTCAAATGCAGTCCAAGTGAAGCCCCTTGTGTGCACTCTGTCCTCAGTATCTACAGGCGCCGCCTCTGATGTGCTTGGGAGAGGATGGACAATTTTACCTGACGGGGCTCGCAAGCTGGAACTCGCGTTGTGAGACCGTGCCCTCGCTGGGAGTCTTCTCCAGACTGGACAAGTTCCTTCCCTTTATTGAAGAAACAATATACTGAGCCAAACCTTGCTCGCGGACGTCTCCTCTGTGTACTGCTGCGTTGATACTTCTCTCGCATCTCTTTCCATGAGTGCAATATTTGCAATGTGCATGCTTATAAATCTAAGATAGTGATTGTGATTAATGCGTAGTTTCTTTAGAGCCAATCTAATCAAGTTTGCATGTGGCCAAATATACCAATGAATTAACTTTTTCAACAAACTGGAATGGTTGACAATTTTATACATCTGTAGTGGTGGTTTTTCACGTGAACAACTTCTCTTTCTACTGTCACTTTATTCAAAGCCTTTCACACGGATGCTCCTTACATTCCACTACACGTATTCTTCTCGGAAATTCTCCTTCTTGCTCCATTAGCCTGCTACTCCGAGCTCAATCTCTCTTGCTCCGCTAGCCTGCTACTCCGCACTCTGCTAGCCTGTCATGGACGCTCTCTCTCTGGCTTCGCTAGCCTGTCCTGCGCCAGCCTCTTACTGTACACTCCGCTAGCTTCTCACTCCACTAACCTCTTACTGAATCTCCTGGTAGTCTATTCTCCGCTAGCCTAACATACTCACTCTAAGGATTCCTCTAGCCTCTCGCCCCGCGAGCCTCTTACGACACCCACACCTCCAACCTCACTCGTGCCCCCAGCGGGGGTTCAGCCAACACCGCTGTGGAGGACAAGGTGTGGAGGGCGAGGTCCCGGACTTCTCTAGTGTTGACTCTTCACTTCATCTCCAAACAACTCCCCCCGTTGCTTCACACATCCCCTTATATCTCCCTCATTCAATGCCTTCAGGTGGCCCTTGCTAAGCCGGCGTCCTCCCGGCGTCAGTTGCACGTGCTTCCCCCCCTTATCGCCTCTATCTCTCACCTCCATGGCGCCTACCCCATGTTTGCATTTGCATCCAGCCAATCGCTGCCTCTTTCCATAATTGCTGCCGTCTCTGTCTGCTGTCTCCCAGGCCCCAGGCTCGCACCCGCCCATCCTGAACTCACTGTTTGCAAACCCGTACATGAATGCAGCTGGTGTTTGCAAACCCTGTGCGCAGTGCGCCACTGCACATCCATAATAAAAAATGTTGGGTTATATCGCGCGTGTCATTAACCCATCATCACCCGACAGCCAACTAGTAAGGTTTGTCACGTAAACAAAACGTGCCAATTAGTTACTATATCATCACACCAGAGTGTTGGAGAGTAAACCAACTACAACATTTACAATTTGAGTACTGTGACGTTTCGCTAGTGATTATGACAAACAGCTTCAGGCAATTTGCCAGAATTGGCAAATCGTATTTAGTTTCGCAATGACTAGGCCTCGTTGGGGCCTAGTCTTACATCTCTTGCCTGCCGGTGAGGTTGCGGCCATCCACGGTCCGCTGATAGTCTCCCAGGAGAAGTCGCAGCCTCCTCCGGGGTGCCTCCGAGCCATAGGGAACGCGTGCTGGCCAGGAGCCAGCATGATGAGAAGAGGGAACCCTTCCTGTAAGCGTTGGAAAGTTTTCTTTCTGAATCTGTAGGTTTTCCCGAACGCCCAAGAGGCCCCTCTCTACCCCGGATTTGAAACCTGCAAGAGTTGCCTGGCAGTAAAGTCACGTAGGCAGAAAAATAATATATCACAACGTTTCGATCACAACACAAGCAATCGTCATCAGGTGGGACAACCACAGCAAGAAAAACTGCTGAAGTAGGCGAGAGATCTGCCGTGGTACGAGGTTATATAGGCCTTGGTAGTAGGGGGGGAAGAGAAGAGGTGGGGAGAGAGAGGGGGCGGGGCAGAAAGTGGACCCGGCGGAAGCACTTGGAGAGATCGGAGAGATCGGCAGCGGGGGGGGGGGGGGAGTGAGAAGGGGGGGGGGGAGGAGGAGGAGGGGCAGAAAGTGGACCCCGTGGCAGCACCCGAGTCACTGGAGTTAAGTGGACCACCGCGGCAGCACTAGAGAGATCGGCTGCAGGGGGGGGAGAGAGAAGGGGGGGAGAGAAGGGGGGGAAGAAGAGAAGGGGGGGGGGGGAGAGAAGGGGGGGGGAGTAGGGGGGGGGAGAAGTGGGGGGCAGGAGGAGGCGGGACAGAAAGTGAACCCAGTGGCAGCACCCGGGTCACTGGAGTACTGTAGTAGAGATTGGAGAGAGATGCACAGAGAGAGGAAGAAGCATAGAGAGTCGGAAATAAAAGCTGACATACTGTAGGCAGGTAGGATTGAAACATCACAGTCAGTTAAGACTTTACCTGGTCAATAACGTCCTTCCAATGATTGCTCAGTTTGTACCATCTTCTCGGTTGACGTGTCTGTTTATATATCTGGATGGCTTCATGAACAAATCTCTGATAATAGCCGGTGGGTTTGCAGAGCACCTTCGTCTTGGAAAAGTAAATTTTGTGAGCCCAAAGCATTAAAACAATGATCAGCAATGGCAGAGGTATTGGTCGTACCGTGTTTCAGATCTGCCTTGTGTTCGCGAACGCGGTCCGAGACATGTCGTTTCGTTTCCCCAATGTAACTGCTGCCACAGTCACAACTCGGTTTGTAGACACCCAGGTATTGCATATCAGGAATCACATCCTTTACAGATGGGCTCAAATCAGGGATTTTGTGTACTGTGTTGAAACGAACCTGGATCTTGTGTTTGCCTAAGATTTTGGAAATATTTTTGCTAACCCCTGCTATGTACGGAAAAGTGATGGTTTTTAGTTGGATCCTCAGAAGGTTGTCTCCGCATGGCTGGGGAGACAGCTTTGCGGATTGTATGGTCAGAATATGTTCATCCTGAGGGCTTGGTGTACATGCTCCAGCTCACTGGCTAGGTGATGCTGGTCGGAGATGCAACGGGCCCTTGGTGTAGTGTTTTGATGAGGGAATTCTTCTGGGCTGGATGGTGGTGGGAGTCAGGCTTTACATAGGCATCCGTGTGGGTGGCTTTCCTGTAGACAGTGTCCCAACTAGACATCAGGTATCTTCTCGATCAAAACATCCAGGAATGGTAGCTTGCCATCCTTTTCCACTTCCATGGTGAATTTGATCGATGGGTGTATGGAATTGGTGTGGTTGAGAAATTGGTTCAGTGCTGGCAGGCCATGTGGCCAGATGACGAACGTGTCATCTACGTATCTATTCCACAAGGAAGGACGTAGGGTGGATGTCTGGATGGCATCTGTCTCAATTTTCTCCATGAAAACATTCGCTACCACTGGCGATATGGGAGACTCCATTGGGGTACTCTCATTGTTTGTAGAATGTACCATTCCAGGTGAAGCAAGTGTTGGTAAGGCAGTGCCTTACCAAAGTTGGTACATCTGGATTCAGTCCCTGTTGGACCAAGTCATTAATTATTGCAATGATGTTAGGTACAGGTACCTTGGTGAACAGGGAGACTACATCGAAACTGACAAATAAATAATCTGGAGACAGTGAGATGTCCTTGATTAGAGAAATCAAGTGAACGGAGTTAAGTACAGTTGAGGTGGTCTTGCTCGTGAAAGGAAGCAGGGTCTCAGACAGAAATCGGGCCAGTTTTTAGGTGGGTGAGTTAATGGTGGAGACGATAGGACTGAGCGGGGTACCTCTTTGTGGATCTTTGGAAGGCCATAAACTGAGTGAGGGAGGGGAGGGAGAGTGGGGGAGGGGAGGGAGAGGGGAGGTAGAGTGTATGGGAGGGAGAGTGAAGGGGAGGGAGAGTGAAGGGGAGGGAGAGTGTAGGGGAGGGAGAGTGTAGGGGAGGGAGAGTGTAGGGGAGGGGGAGTGTAGGGGAGGGGGCGGGAGAGTGTAGGGGAGGGAGAGTGTAGGGGAGGGGGAAGGAGAGTGTAGGGGAGGGAGAGTGTAGGGGAGGGAGAGTGTAGGGAGAGTGTAGGGGAGGGAGAGTGTAGGGGAGGGAGTGTGTAGGGGAGGGAGAGTGTAGGGGAGTGTAGGGGAGGGGGAGGGAGAGTGTAGGGGAGGGAGAGTGTAGGGGGGGGGAGTGTAGGGGGGGGAGAGTGTAGGGGAGGGGAGAGTGTAGGGGAGGGGAGAGTGTAGGGGAGGGGGAGTGTAGGGGAGGGAGAGTGTAGGGGAGGGGGAGGGAGAGTGTAGGGGAGGGGGAGGGAGAGTGTAGGGGAGGGGGAGGGAGAGTGTAGGGGAGGGAGAGTGTAGGGGAGGGGGAGGGAGAGTGTAGGGGAGGGAGAGTGTAGGGGAGGGAGAGTGTAGGGGAGGGAGAGTGTAGGGGAGGGAGAGTGTAGGGGAGGGGGAGGTAGAGTGTAGGGGAGGGGAGAGTGTAGGGGAGGGGGAGGGAGAGTGTAGGGGAGGGAGAGTGTAGGGGAGGGGGAGGGAGAGTGTAGGGGAGGGGGAGGGAGAGTGTAGGGGAGGGGGAGGGAGAGTGTAGGGGAGGGGGCGGGAGAGTGTAGGGGAGGGAGAGTGTAGGGGAGGGAGAGTGTAGGGGAGGGGGAGGGAGAGTGTAGGGGAGGGGGAGGGAGAGTGTAGGGGAGGGGGAGGGAGAGTGTAGGGGAGGGGGAGGGAGAGTGTAGGGGAGGGGGAGGGAGAGTGTAGGGGAAGGGGAGGGAGAGTGTAGGGGAGGGGGAGGGAGAGTGTAGGGGAGGGAGAATGAAGGAGGGGAGGGAGAATGAAGGAGGGGAGGGAGAATGAAGGAGGGGAGGGAGAATGAAGGAGGGGAGGGAGAATGAAGGAGGGGAGGGAGAATGAAGGAGGGGAGGGAGAATGAAGGAGGGGAGGGAGAATGAAGGAGGGGAGGGAGAATGAAGGAGGGGAGGGAGAATGAAGGAGGGGAGGGAGAATGAAGGAGGGGAGGGAGAATGAAGGAGGGGAGGGAGAATGAAGGAGGGGAGGGAGAA